TGGTTATTACAGCAATTACGTTCGTTTCATTTTTTAAATCGCTTTATCATTAACTGTACCGTTAAGAGCGGCATCTTTTGGTTTAGTACAAATAATATCTCAGAAACACTCGGGTTAGACAGGAACATGATACTAGCAGTAGTTTCATTTTACTTTTACAAGCTTCTTAAAACAATTGTTGAGCTAGCTAACGTGCTCATTTCTAAATTCAATTTCTTGTTCTAGCTTTCTGTTATGTTTCGTAAAAAAGTAGTCTTGATTATCCCGACCTGTCAATCAGCCCTAGAATGGTCGATAGACTGGTTAAGCGAGACTAATTTCAAAACAAGGGCACGTAACCTATCTTTTACTCAAAAGTGTCTGGATGTTATGGACGACACATGGAACAAGTTTTCAGTCTATTATTTATAGATGATTAATGGTCATAGCTTATTAAGTACAACATGATCGTTTATTTAGTGACTATAATTGTGTGAAACTGATTTGAGGCTTGGCATATATATAAATATTGTGGCGAAATTGTCGAGATATATGGAGATATTTATTTATGGTGGGTCACCCTACCAATGACCATCTTCTACCCTTTGTTTTCTTAAATCCAGACCCAAACAACCATTTTGCCTCGATTATGTCGTGACGAATGACATGTGAGGAGCGGGATATGCTTACTCATTCTACAACAGAACACCTAAGTACCGTTTGAATAGATCATTCTAACAAGCATACGTTGTATTGTGGCCTTGGGGTTGTGTTTTAATCAGCAATTTGGGCTTTTGAAATTCAGACATCATTTAGCTTTAGTAATTGTGTCAGACACGTGACAGTGCATGCATGCTCTTTAGAGAACCCATGACTAGGGTAACAAATTTACACATGTACGTTGAATATAAATGAGTGTCTCCGTTGATAGTAGGGGGATCACGTGGCTAAGTGGGTGAGACGCTGGCTCGCTATACTGGAGGTCGGGTGTTCGATCCCTGCATTGGCCGAGAAAGTTCATCCAGATTTTCCGGCGTGGTTTACCCTTGTCAGTGATGCAGGACGGAGGGTCTAATAAGGACGGCTGCCTAGTCGTTCGGATGGGACGAAAAACCGAGGTCCCGTGTACATATTGGCGTGCACGTAAAAGATCCCTTGACAGTTGGAATTCGATATAAGAGTAGGTCGTAGTGCCGCTGCCCGGTCAAACCCTCATATATGGCGTATGCCCGTCTTCATTAGCCCAGTTTAGGAGCAGAACAGTTGGACGTTAAACTCCATTTCATTTCATTTCTGTTGATAGTATCTTTGCCGTCTGGAACAGTCGTTAAATTTAAGTGTAAGTAGCGACGGGTCTTGTGCACTAATTTGGGTATATTATGTACTTCTTCTAGGACAATTGCTTCCGAGTATTATGTGAGGAGTTCACATTGTTGTAGTGTGGTGTACCCAGTCGGTGATAAACAAAGCATGAGGTTATATATGTAATAAATTCTAGGAAGAGCACATATAAAAACTGACTTTTCCGAATTCCATTCGCAACGCTAGAAAATACAAATGACGATAAGTTAGTCTTAAAATGACCATCGTATTTTGTTGAAAATACGTTTACCGTCATTGCTTTGCTTTCCACATTTTGTTTCGTTTATCTCTTTAATATTGATGTTTCCTTTGTTGTTGTTTGCTGGGCAATCAAGCTGACACACTGCATCTACTGAAATAAAGCAATTCCATTGACATTAAATGGTGAAAATAAATACTGTGAACGTTTTTGTGAAACAAGAAATAAATCAGTTTTATCAACGTTGATGAAAGGGCGAGAAACATTAATTATGCATTTCTGCATATTGTTTTGTTGTGTGTATGTCCATAAATCATGCAACTTCAGCACGCAATACCTTGCAAAATGTTCTCCCCAGCACTGTATGTGCAAATACAATAAACGGTATGTGTAAATTTGTTAGCCAGGTCAGGGGTTCTCTAAAGAGTATGCATACACTGCCCCGTGTGACACAATTGCTAAAGCCCAAACTGCTCATTAAAAGTGTGTGTGAGAGAAAGAGAGAGATGCGGTCTTTAGAAGTGGGAGGAAACCGGAGGACCCGGAGAAAACACACGAGGTTGGACAGGCGAGCCTATTTCTTGTCACGTACAACTGGGGAATGGAAACCACGCCAGTTGACTTAATGACAGACTTTATGATACAGCGCTAACGCGCTAACCGTTCGGCCATCCAATCCCCCCCCCCCCTATAATAAAAGTGAAAGGATAAAGCTATAGAACACAGATAATTATCAGTGTATTGTATTTCAAACTATTTAAAACAGCCAAACTGGAATTTATGTCCAGCGAAAAGTTTACATTTAAAAAATGTATAGATTGGCGTAAGCGCCTGCTCGATTTTACGATCCATTTGAGTCATAAAACATAATGTCGATATCGTGTTACCTTTTCATACTATGTCCAGCAGGAATATTTGCATATTCCATTTTCTCCCTAATTTGCCCAATATCTTATATTATTCCACTGTTTTACGCGTTATTATATTTACTTATACATTACTGTTTCGGATGGAGCCACGGTGGCTAGGTGGTTAAGACGCTGGCTCGCTAGCCTGGAGGTCGGGTGTTCGATCCCTGCAATGGCCGAGAAAGTTCATCCAGATTTCCCGACGTGGATTCCCCTTGTCAGTGGTGCAGAACGGAGGGCCTGATAAGGACAGCTATCTAGTCATTCGGATAAGACTAAAAACCGAGGTCCCGTGTATATATTGGAATGCACGTAAAAGATCCCCTGGCAGTTGGAATTCGATATAAGAGTAGGCGATAGTGCCGCTGCCCGGGCAAAATTTCCCTCATAGCACACTGTATGGCGTATGCCCGTCTTCATTAGTCCAGCATAGGAGCAGAACAGTAGGACGTTAAACCCTATTTCATTTCATTTCATTTCATTTCATTTCATTTCACTGTTTCGGATCTCTTAGGACATGTTTACTTATTCAATGCCAAGGTCATGTCGATGATTCATGTTTGTGTCTATATATTTTGTATTGCATGATATTTAATGACTAGAGTTCGGGAAAAAAAGATGTCGCCTAATATATTTTGATAGTATTTGTTCTCCCTAAAAAAACATTATCCACCACCCACCACTTTAAAGAGTAGCAGCAACAATACTTATAGAAATGTCCAAGCATGTTTTGCTCTCGTCACGGGCTATACGTCTTTTGGCTTGGACAGGGGAAGTCAGTTCTTTGGTACTGTGGGTAGACACCGCAGGAGAAACAAGAAGTTGTGGGGATATTCCAAAATACCTGGCGATTCAGACAAATCAAATAAACAAAATTCATAAGTTCACCTGTTTAAAAATCCGAATGGGTAGTCATCAGTTGCGTTATGTTCCAAAATTTAAGGATTATATTCTATCTATCCAGTAGTTCTTAACGCAAGTGCAACGGCCATGTTCCCGGTGACCTGAGTGAATATACCAACACAATATCGATTGAACGGTCAGTGCTTCCTTCCATAATCCCATTATGTCTGACCTGGTAATAGGTCAGCAGTAAATAAATCCTATTTGATTGATTGGTTGTTAGTAAATATTACATCACAGATTCGGTCATTCGGTGATAATAATACTCTTCAGTACCTGATTAATGTTCCCCATAAAACCACTTTATATGATGTGGATTAATACAAGATCTAACCTTAAAGTGTTAATACACGGCTCACTTTGCTACAAATTATAATCGGCTGACAATCACTATAAGTAAATTACCAGTGATCTTTCTAACCTTGTTAACACAAGGCTCGGTTTGTTGGGAATTAAAACCAATTGACACCCTGTATAATATTAAGCAAATTATGATCTGTCAATAATTATATACGGCAGGTTGCACACTTTATTTCGGAATCGGAAGCACTGGTGCAAAGAGGGATTCGGAGCGGGTGTCCCACCCCTTCTTTAATCTTATGCAAAGCCCTGGGCCAATTTCTTTCAGCAGTTTGCACTGCTTACTATAATAAAAATGTCCTGCTTATTTTCGTAATGGACGAGATATATGGACAAAAAAACAGTTGGTTCTCCTGTGGTAAGCCCTATACCTAAGAGATACATTGTATTAAATATTAATTCCTTAACCCATAACATTTTGAGAACAATTATATCAATTAAAATAAAACGTTGTTTCCTTTATTTACAGGAACACAAGTGGGTAGGTAAAACTATATGTGTTGAAGACATCAACCATTTGCTAATTTTGAATGGGAACCACTTAAGTGACTGAATGAGGGCAAGACGGAAGACCTGACAATGAATAATGTCTATAGATATACGGGTGGGATGAAAAACCGAGGTCCCATGTACAGGTCGAGGCGTACGTAAAAGAACCCTTGACAGTTGGAATGCAACTGCTGTCTGGGCATATTTTCTCTCATAGTTTTCTGTATGGGGTATTCCCCCTCTCCATTCGCACAACCATTCACTTCCAATGATATGCTATTTTGTTGTATTTCTTGATAAACACTAATCGACGTATGACATAGGGTTACGTTATGTCATCGTTTGTTTGGATTATATTTTCCTTATGAAATATTCCTACAAACAGTAATTACGTAACTGTTTTCCATCGTGAAATTTCGTTTATAAACTTTTAATTGTTTGTCGCGTGGTTTAATTGCAATTCGCTAAATAGTTGACGAGCGGTTTCGAGAAATGTCTGTTTTATTTGTTTACGCATTTGTTAAATCTGAAGTAAACAAGACAAACATATTTCATCTAGCCTTTGTTGTATCCAACACGTTTAGTCCGATTGACTTTCTACATCAATAGAATAGCCTCCATGACAGCGCATGTCGTCTGCTAGAAAAATGTTCATAGTAATTTGTCGTCTGACAACACGCGTTGTTTGAGGCCCGTCCAGTAAAACCAGTTAAACGACGAATGTGGTGTTTATGAACTCAATACGTCGGCCATATATAGACAATATACCTACATAAAGTTTATAATGCACCGTGGGCAGTAGGTCGTTTAACCAGTCTTCTGAATAACTCGAGCCGACCAGATATTGTCAAGAGAGATTGTCACGTGGCCATCAGTTGCCCAATCATTAAGCTGCAAGCAGTCGGGCGGGCGGGACCAGTGGTATAATATATTCGCTGACTGCAGGTATCTACTCTTGCCGGTTGTGTCAAGCCGATAACAGTCTGTCAAGCAAGTGGTGGATTTCAATTTCATTCAGGGACAAGTTGCTACTCCTGCTTCTCCAAAATGTCGCATTCTTCGGTTACAGAGAAGAGAACGACGATAACTTCGTCATCCAGTAATTATAACGATGAACCATCGTCGACTGCTTACTACAAGTCGGATATTAAACCCCGTGCCACCACAATTCACCGTTCATCTTACTCCCCAGCCAGATCTGGATATACCCGTACCGTTGAGATGTCCTCGGGGTTCATGCCCTCTGCTGGCCCCGGGGGATACGCCAACATTTCGTCATCTGGGGTCAAGAATGTGCAAACTACCCGCCAGCGAGAAAAGAAGGATATGCGAGATTTGAACGAGAGGTTTGCTAATTACATTGAAAAGGTGAGATTTTTGGAAGCTCAAAACAAGAAACTAGCCTCCGAATTAGAAGAACTAAAATCAAAATGGGGAAAGGAAACAAGCGCCATCAAACAAATGTACGGTGCCGAGTTGGAGGAAGCACGGAAGTTGATTGATGATACAAATAAAGAGAAGTCCCGTCTGGAATTAAGAGTCAGTACTATAACTGAGCAACTGGATGACCTAATAAGACAGTGAGTACACCTTTAATTACACAGATATACCTGCTATTTATACTACTTATATGGTATACATATACATATTCATTCAGTCAAACTACACTATGTCACGTATGCTCATCATTGTGTCATACAACAGTCAGACGTTTAATGTTAAAACTGATGTTTGGTGACCCGGCGCATTACATCATCAATACTGTATAGGGTCATCCATGCATCAGTCATCAGAAATCGATCAAATAATATTTGACATGTTATGAAAAGTAAGTTATATGTACTTAAACTTTGATTAATACAGCTATATCAATTAGAAATGTTTCAAAATCACATAATTATACAAACCAAGCGAATTTAAAACATGAATTACATAATTTTAAATCTTGCTAACACCACTATAAATATGTGTGTGAATGAAATAAAATACAGATATTTTATCATTTATTTAAAAATACATTCAAAACAAAAGTGAAACAGAACAGTCTAGCTCTGTTAACTCATCAATTAATGAGAAGTGATACCTAGAAACAGTCAGCATACTCTGACTCGTACACGACAGATACCTTTCGTTAATTGGACCTGTAAAAATGGCCTTGGAATAAATTCCGGGCCAATGGTCACCATCTGTTGATAGCAGACACCAGACGCCTTGCTAAATTCTAAGAGAAAATATGGCGGTAGTCTACTTCCGATTTGATGAACACTGCCATGATAACAAAGTTAAGGAATCGGAACGTTAAAATACACTGCAAAAACTATACTACACAGACTTATTGATTTTTGAGACCCCGGGAAAAGGAATTGATTAGTCTATAAGAATTCCTGTAAGTTCGTGTTGGTCAATTACCTTGGCAAGAACCCCGTGATCTCATATTCCTGATATAAATAACTTATCTGATTGGTAGACTCCTTTTCTGGTCTCAAATTCCATGGATGATCTATTCCTGGTAGTAATTCATGATAACAATAAAATAAATCTTGATCATGACTGATATCGGACTAATAATCTTGTAGCAATCGATGTAAAAATAGATAGAAGTTGGCTAAATTGAAAAAATATATATATAAACTATTAGGTGGTACGGGCAAACCGTCATGACCTTTAAAAACACACAAGGAGTTATAAATTGGTTATATCACTACATTTTTGCAGTTCTATTAAACTCGACACAATATTCCCTATTAGAATATTGATTAAGGTCCTACATATATATGTGTATTCTATGGTGGCCCATGGTCGCAATAGCGTTTTTGGGGTTATTTTTTGTATTTCATTTAAAATCATAAAAAATAAAAGTAAAAAAAAAGAAACATTTTTTTTTCTTTTGTTTTACAAAATAAAAAAAAAATCTTTTTAAAATTTAAGAAAAAAAAAATCTTTTTAAATTAAAAAGAAAAAAAAAATCTTTTTCAATTAAAAAGAAAAAAAAATCTTTTTCAATTAAAAAGAAAAAAAAATCTTTTTAAAATTTAAGAAAAAAAAAAAAATCTTTTTAAAATAAATTAAATTAAAAAGAAAAAAAAAATCTTTTTAAATTAAAAAGAAAAAAAAATCTTTTTCAATTAAAAAGAAAAAAAAATCTTTTTAAAATTTAAGAAAAAAAAAAAATCTTTTTAAAATTTAAGAAAAAAAAAAAATCTTTTTAAAATAAAAAAAAATCTATATAAAAAAAATTAATAAAATATTTAAGATTAAAAAAATCTATAAAAAAAATAACATTTTAATTAAAAAAAAAAAAAAAAGTGAAATTGAAAAAATCAAAAAAAGAATTCTGCACGTGGTCCATCGTCGTAATAGTGTCTTGATTATCCAGACTCAGTATAAAATCGGCCTACGACAGCTATCATTCGACTCGAGTGACCAGAAATACCTCGTGGCCCATTGTTGCTATAGTGTCTCGATTATCCTATGTGGCATAACTCGAGCGACAAGAAACGAGTTTGTAGTTATCTCCCCTTCCGAAAGGAAAAGGGTAAACAGACATCAACACGTGAAACACAATTTTTCCACCCATGACGTCTATGGACTTGGATATATGTATTTATACATATGCAAGTCAATAGAAATGTATAATTAATATACTATAGAAGCCTAGCGTCATTTAGACTAGTTTATCCAGTCTAACTAGAACTAGGCCTACATACATAATGACGTTTGAAGTCATTGACTTAAATGACACCATTCGGCCTACTAGTAGTACTAGTGCGCAAGGCCTATTCTCCCCTCAAAAGGCTTATGTAATGTTTTTAAAACACTTGGTCTCCCTGAGGTCGAATTTCAAAAGTAGTTAACAACTACTAAGTAGCCGGGGGGGGGGGGGGAATGGTTAGCACGTGCGCGCTGTATCATAAAGCCTGTCATATCATAAAGCCCGTCATTGAGTCAACTGGCGTGATTTCGAATCCCCGGTTTTACGTGACAAGGAGTAGGGTGACCTGTCAAACATCGTGGGTCTGTCGTTCAGATTATCCTGTGTGGGATCTATGAAGAAACCAGTCTCTATAGTTACCTCACATCAAGGCACAAGTAATTTTAACTAAAATCTATTAAAATTAAATTTTAAGTTACAATCGATCTTCGTGAAACGCATAAATTTAAAATTTCACTTTGATTTTAAAATCTATGTTAGTGATTTTAGCTTCAGTTTTTGTGAAACCCCTGCTCTCCCTGAGGTCATCGCTAGTCCCCCGCTACGACCACAGGAACGGGTAAGAGGTGCGAAAGTGCGATGGCGGACAACATCAATTTCAAAGACAAAATAGAGCACGATAGCCTACGTGGATTTCGTCTGGGGCCTGTTTTACTAAGATAAAATTCAAATTTTAGTATTTGATTGGATAATAGATAATATTAGATTTATTTTAGTGCTTAGCTAATCAAAATTGAAGTATCTACAATTATGTTGACGTGAGATAACTACAGACTCGTTTCTTGTCGTTCGAGTTTATACGTTCTTCATAGATCCCACACATAATAATCGAGATACTACTGCAACAATGGGCCACAAAATGTTTCTGGTCGCTCTAGTCTAATGATAGCTGTATACTGGGTCTGGATACTCAAGACACTATTGCGACGATGAGCCACGTCAGGAATTATTTTTTATCTTTTCTTTTTCAATTCTTTTTTTTTTTCATTTAATTTTTTTTTTAATATTATTTCTTTTTTATTTTTTTTTAAATATATTTTATTATTTTTTTTTATATATATAGATTTTTTGTTTTCATTTTAAAATTTTTTTTTTTTTTTAAATTTTAAAAAGATTTTTTTTTTTTTAATTTTTTAAAAAGATTTTTTTTTTAAATTTTTTAGAAAGAGTTTTTTTTTAAATTTTAAAAGATTATTTTTTTTTATTTTGTAAAAAAAAAAAAAAATGTTTCTTTTTTTTTTTTTGTACTAATATTTTTATTATTTTAAATGAAATACCAAAAATAACCCAAAAAACGCTATTGCGACCATGGGCCACCATAGTATTCATTAACCACCTGTTCAAATTAATAATACTCATAAACTTGACATCTATACAAACTATAACCATTCATCTTTTTATTTGTCTATATAGCATATTTTTTTTGTATTGATATGTGCGTCAGGATGGAACTCATTTCTAGATTAGCCCTGCAAGTATTGAACCATTTCATAGTTGTAATCGAAATAACAATGATACAATGCCATGATGAATTAGATAGAACTCGCTGTACGAGACTAACAATAATACTATGCAAGTAATACCGAAGTTAACTTATGTTCTTGCTATAGTTTCACAATCAATTCAGATGCTAGATTTACCACTGTCTGTTTCCTAGCTGTACAGGCATATTATAAAGACAACCCAAAGTTGGCGACAAGGTCCTTTACAACGACGAAAAACATAAATATGCACATACTGCCACAATAAACCCGATACTCGAGATGAAAACCAAACTTTTAGCTACAATGATTTGACAAGGAACAACATCTCACTCTTCGATGCACCCAGGGACAAATAGCGTTCCTGTAAGACCAACCAGTCTCTTTTTCATGCATCACAACACCACACGAAGAGGAGTGTCCCAAACTGGCCAAACAAGAAGGTAACAATTTTAAAGACTGTTACTTAACAACCTCAAAGATTTACAGCTATCCTTCGCACCTGTGAAGTGTTTCAAATAAAATGAAATGGAGTTTAACGTCCTACTGTTCTGCTTCGAAGGAAGTGTAGGAGATGGATAATACGTGTGCGTTACAGTTACATTTTGGTTGAACTATTCCTGTACGACTAATGAGTATACATTTTTATTTAAATGCAGAAGCATTAAACGTTATCTGTATTTGACTAATGTTAACGTACTGTATAGATACTTATTACAATTCAGTGCACGTATATTATAGCTTTAATAAATAACCGTATAAATACCTGTATTCGTAAGTTGCTATACATTAATATGTTGTAATTAAACCGTTTATTGTAACAAAGGACCGGTAACAATTTATAACGTTTATGTTGTATTACATAACTAATTAATATCATATCATGTACTAAATAAGAATTCAGTGATTAACATTTCATACAGATAGGGCTCGTATTAACTATAGTTGGTATACACTGTGTAAAATCCATTTGATATCTAATAAACAAGCTTATGGTTCCGAATAAAGCATCAGGTGTTTCTACTACAGTTGACACTATATTCCATAAATTATACTATGCGTTAATAAATTTGTTAAAGAAAGCATTGCGGATCAACTACAAGACTACATAATCTATGATCGTACCAGTCTTCTTACAGACATTTGCACACTTCAGAGAGAGTTATAACATTATTCATACCACGGACAAATAATAAACCACCCTATTCATATTATTGGAAACGCAGTCACATCTGACACCATGGACCAATATATCATCCTGCATGGAATAAAACTTAAAACAAATGGTAATCCTTTCTGATTCTGATACAGTAGGGGGTTCAATTTCATTCAAAACTTATGAACTTCATATTGATACTTTTTGTCCACGGTGCTAAATGATCCACCT